TAGTGCTGTTTTGACCAGTCGAGCAATCTTTCAAAGGATGAAAAACTACACGGTATTCTTTTTCCTTTTTGGGGTTGGTTCAGAAGTGTAATATAAAATTGTTATTTTACAGACAATGACTTGGATTCTTAAATGAGCTTAATGCTCTTATTCTGTCTCTGAGCTATGATATGAATAACTCATCTGATTATGTATGTTATGCATTGACAGATATATGCCGTTTCTATCACAATCCGTATTGTGGTAAGTTATTTGCAACTGCTTCATTCTTTTATCCTGTCTATCTTATGTTTCAGGGTCAAATGCATCTTGTACTCTTTTCACCCTTTTCTTTAATTCAATGTCACAGCTTGGTTTTATGCTTCTGGCTCTGATATGGCAGTTTGATTTTCCGCCTTTCATGGTGCTTATCATTGCAATTCTTAATGATGGTTAGTCTTTTCACCGACAGAAATATATCTGATACTTAAGCCTTTAATCTTTTATCTCTACCTCTAATATAGGACGATATTAAACGTATGGGGTAAGTTTAGAACTGAAATGTTATTAGCCTAATTTTGCTGTAGTTGTTTCTTCCAATGTGTGCAGCACCTCTCTGGTTTAGTATCTCATCCGAGTATTAGTTTCTGCTCAAGTCTTTACTCAGTGTGTTATCTAACTACCAAACATTAACAATATCAGGTACCATTATGACGATATCGAAGGATAGGGTCAAACCATCTCCGCTGCCTGATAGCTGGAAACTGGCTGAGATTTTTACTACTGGAGTTGTTCTTGGTGGCTACTTGGCAATGATGACAGTCATTTTCTTTTGGGCAGCATACAAAACAAATTTCTTCCCGGTGAGCGTACAGATCCAATACATTAAAAAGTTATGAGTGATGGTGTGATGCAGGCCTTCCCAATTGTTGAGTGCTCCACATTTAGTTGCCCTTTTAATTGTTTTAGAATGGACATATAAGAGATGCAGATGACCTATCTAGTACATGCAACAACAACAACAGACCCAGTGTAATCCCACAAGTGGGGTCTGGGGAGGGTAGTATGTACGCAGACCTTACCCCTACCTTCAAGAAGGCATAGACGCTGTTTCCGAAAGACCCTCGGCTTAGGAAAGATAAAAGGAAGGGCAGCAGCAATCACACCAATTCTAAAACCAAAGCAAAAATACAAAACTAAAACTGAGTATTGTAATCAGAAGGTCGAAACGAAAGCAACGACAAGTAATCACATAAATCAAGGCATACGAAAATACATACATAACACTAACTCATGTACTAAAGCTACTGTTACAGACAAGGACAATGCTAGGCGACCTATTCTAACCCTTTACCTTTATTCTCAACCTCCACACCTTCCTATCCCTGGTGATGTCCTCCGTGAGCTGGAGCAACGCTATATCATGCCTAATCACCTCTCCCCAACACTTCTTCGGCCTACCTCTACCTCTCCTTAGGCCCTCACACCTCCTCACTGGTGCATCTGCGTCTCTCTTATTCACATGTCCGAACCATCTAAGTCTCGCCTCCCGCATCTTGTTCTCCACAGAGGCCACACCCACCTTATCCCGAATAACTTCATTTCTAATTCTATCCAGCCTGGTATGCCTGCACATCCATCTCAACATCCTCATTTCAGCCACCTTCATCTTTTGGACATGGGAGTTCTAGTACATGCAAATAGATATTATTTCTTCTATCTAATTTAACCAAGTGTATGAAGGAGATATTATAAGCAATCCACAGACGTACAAACACACATTTAGTGGCCATTTTTATCTTATCAACAATAATATAAATCTTCTATCTCACCCATGCTGCATACATTTTCCTTATGCTAAACAATCTCTTGTATTCGCTGTTCGGAATATTTAGATGTTGAAGTAGGGTGTTGATGTTGGGCCACTCTTTGTTTTATATCTAACTTAATTTGGTGAATTTCCAGCGAGTATTTGGGGTATCAACACTTGAGAAAACAGCAACTGATGATTTTAGGAAGCTTGCCTCTGCAATTTACCTTCAAGTAAGCACTATCAGTCAGGCCCTGATCTTTGTCACAAGATCTCGAAGTTGGTCGTTTATGGAGCGTCCTGGGTTGTTGCTAGTGGTTGCTTTTCTGATTGCTCAACTGGTGAGTCATCTGCTGCTTATTTATTCTAGCAAATTTTCCTTAACTTAATGGATCATCTACCATTTGGGAACTAAATATGCACAGGTTGCCACCTTGATTGCTGTTTATGCAAATTGGAGTTTTGCTGCAATTGAAGGAATTGGCTGGGGTTGGGCTGGAGTGATCTGGCTTTACAATATTGTGTTCTATATCCCGCTAGATTTGGTCAAGTTCTTCATCCGTTATGCTCTCAGTGGGAAGGCCTGGGATCTTGTTATTGAGCAAAGGGTATGCATTGGGAAAAATAAAAAGATACTTATGAGTCACTCTTGCTCCTATTCTCTATTTATTATATTGTGGTATTTGATGTCTCCGTTATTTTTATTTCTCTTCAGATTGCTTTCACCAGAAAGAAGGATTTCGGGAAAGAACAGCGTGAGCTTCAATGGGCACATGCACAGAGAACCCTGCATGGCCTCCAAGTTCCAGACCCCAAAATATTTAGTGAAACTACCAATTTCAATGAGCTTAACCAGTTGGCTGAGGAAGCGAAGAGGAGAGCTGAAATTGCTAGGTAAGCGTCATTTGAAATAGGGGCATCAGGAGCAAAGTCCATGAGTTTAGTTATCATTAGCTGAATTTTTGTCCGGAACTTGCATTTGTTGGCTGGCTTTGCACTCTATTCCCTTTTACGCATATGGCCATCGTCGTTAATTGCATATGCAGTTATAGCTTAATTTTTCTCAATTCATTTTTTAAGCTATACTGAACAAATTGGGGGTTTTCTAAAATCTTAACTGCCTTTTTGAATTGCAGGCTACGTGAGTTGCACACACTGAAAGGTCATGTCGAATCAGTGGTGAAGTTGAAGGGTCTTGACATTGAGACAATTCAGCAGGCATACACCGTTTAAGGGGAAAGTCTGTTTGGGAGGTGTAGTTAGGTGTGGTCAAGGCAGCTAAGATATCAATGTCATAGTTAGTTACCTTTGAAATAGCATGTTCATATTAGCGACGTCTTCAGCACTTACCTTATAGGTTACTTTTATTTTGCCCTTTCCTGCCTTCATGTCCTAGCTCATGTAGATGTAGCAGTAGTAACACAGTGTGTGAACATCAAGTTATGCCAGCATTCTATGTCTATATTCGTGAAACCTTTTGTCTAAATATATTTCGTGTTTGGCATCCACTTATGTTGTACTGGTTTGCCTTCATTTCTTGGCTTCATATAACACGGAGAGCATTGTGTTTACTGCTATTGTTGGCTTCATTCTTCAGCTTAACGTTAGGCTTTTTACTATGTTTTCCCCCGTCCCTTTAGGTTGATATTCAGTCACGTAAAGATGTAGCATAACCATTGATGGCTCATAATTATCAATATAAAGAAATTTAGCCTTTCCAGTTCTTGCACCTTCCTCGTTACTCTGCCTACACTACAATTTCCATCTATTCTTTTCTTTCAGTCATACTGAAAGCATTTTTAGTTTTACTTAATTTCTTTCTAGTTAATATTTGATGCCACACGTACTCAAGAGTTCAACTGTGGTTAAAAGCTACTACTACTATGATAATACTCTTCCATACACTTCTTCCCATTTAAATTTCAACAATAGGAGAGAGATTAATGGAGGCGTGGATTTAATGCTATTTTGTTCTAGACTTCTAGCTTTCCTATCACAACTTCTTTCAAAGCAAATGGCTGCTAAGGAATTGTATATGAGATGATCCATTTGGGTTGATCCTTAAATTCGTGTCAGACGAATTGTTTCTCAACATTTTGCCTTTCCATTTCAAGTGCTACGCTGCTAGTTTCATCATTTCCCTTGTACTTGTACCACCTGGCACATATTATGAAATAGAAAACATTAAGGATTCCCAATGCTGTAATCAAGAAGTAGAAGTAATCCAATCTCCCCTTGTTAAGGTCTTCAGGCAGCCAGTTACCAGTTTTAGCCTTTTCTGTTGTGTGGTGCACTATCGAGATCAAGAAACTATTCAGGTAACTAGAAGCAGCCATTCCCAAGAAGAAGAAAGATCCTGCTATGCTTCTCATATTTTCTGGGAACTGCTTATAATAGAATTCCACTTGTCCAATGGCACAAAATGCCTCTGCAAGTCCTGCTAAGGATAACTGAGGAACTAACCATAGAGCTGACATAGAAGAAACTAAACCTCTTTCTGAATGAACTCCTAATGCTGGATTTGTGAAAACTAGTTTTCTTCTTCGTTCCTCGATAAAGGCAGATACTAGGGATGATAAAACAATGAGGAATATGCCAATTCCCATTCTTTGAAGGATTGTTATGCCACCTTCTTTACCAGTGAGTCTTCGGAGTAATGGGACAACGATACGGTCATATATGGGTAGCCAGAGAGTGAGGCTTAACATGGAGAAAATAGTGTAAGTTGCTGCTGGAATTTGAAAGTTGCTATTGCCAAGATGTCTGTCTGATTGAAGTGCTTGAAAGACAACAAATTGTTGCTGCTGAATTATTCCAACATGGTACACAATTGCTGCAGCCCAAATGGGAATTACCCTCACAACACATTTAGCTTCTTCCACTTGCTGCAGACTGCACAGGTTCCATGTATTGGCTGCTGATCCATCTGATTTTATTTGGTCTTCTGGTGTTACAATTGCAGCCTTGTCAAGAAACCTTATAGCACAGGAAATTTAATCAGTTAAAGATTATAATAAACAGGAAAAAACTATGTTGCTCGGACTCTCTCAAAATGTCGCCGAATGCGTGTCGGATCCTCCAAAAGTAGTGCATTTTTAGAGGATCTGACACGGGTGCAGTAACAATTTAAAGAGTCCGTGCAACATAGGGAAAAAAATGACATAATCTATCATTAAAGATTATGTTAGGTAAGTTAATATGACTTTTTACAATATTTTGACATGGTGGTTTGAGTGCATTGACAGATCAATTTCCTAAAAGATTCATATCCTAGTGCTTGTATCCAATATCATGAAATGTCTTTTAGGCTAAGGGTCTATTTCTCTTCTGATCTGATACCCGTAAGTACAGGGCCCTACCATGTGATATATATAAAGAGAATAGATCAAGTAATTTTGTAAAATAGAAAGTTGTGGTTTAAGTTTACAATTGGTTTTGGTAAGTCATGTAAAACATAAGACAAAACTACCTTAAAAAAACAGGTTTAGTTAAATGCTGAAAGTTCATGCATTGTTGCATTCCATCCTAACATACCAACAGAAACAAAAGAAAGTTATGAAACCTCAGATATTTTTTTCTGAAAAGTTATGAAACCTCAGCTATTTTGTTTTTCTGAAAATGCCTAATCGTTAAGTATAGTCGTTATGTTTCTTTTTTCAGGCCAATATCACGGTTTTAAAGAGGACTGGAATGTGTAGGTCCTAGGATAATCTTAACTGCACTTATGTAAATAATAAATCATGCTACAGTGTCGGTGTGATTTAACTAGTTTGACAGGTTTAAGAATCAAATCTTAAAAGTTTAGTACTATTAATTAAACTAATGGAGACATACAGCAGTCGCTATCAACAGTAGTTATACCTAATTAATACCTAATGAACATGCAAATATACAAAGTACTAACAAGTGACCTGTCGAATATTCAAGACAAGTTTCACGAGGAATGCCGCTGCATAATTATCAATCCAATCAGCAAGCAAGGGGTTCAATCAAATTAATTAACTTGATGATATAAACTATAACAAAACCGGCAGCCCGGTACACTAAACTGCTGCTATGCGCGGGGTTTGGGGAAAGGCCGGACCACAAAGGTCTATTGTACACAGTCTTACCCTGCATTTCTGTCAAATGTTGTTTCCACGGCTCGATCCAGTGACCTCTTAGTCATATGACATCAACTTTACCAGTTAGGAAACTAATATTACTAATCAAAATCATTCTAAATTTATCATAGATTTGTTCCTTTGTTACCTGAATTGATGAGTGTACGAAAGCTTGGAATTGATGGAGTTGGGAGGAGTGTAACTGAAAAGAGATTTCAACGGTTGCTCTGGCAATTTTAGCCTTCTTTTCTTGATAGAAACTACCAAAACCTGAACTACACTTGTCAAGGGGCTGCCTTCTGGTTTCACTTTCACATAAATTTTAGTTCCCCCAAAGAAGAGGAAACATGAAATCAACATGAATATTGCAGGAATAGCTAATCCTATGGACCAGCTAACATCGGATTGCACATAAACCACTAGTGTCACAGACACCATTTGTGCGAAAGTTAAGGTGAAAAAGTACCAGTTAAAGAAACTATTGATACCCCTTTTTCCAGATTCTGTATTGGGATTGAATTGGTCTGCTCCAAAGGCTAAGTTACATGGCCTAATCCCAGCTGCTCCTATGATCAGTAGCCCAAATCCACTCAACAAAAATGCCATTTGCCACCCTGTTGGTCCTATGCAGTTGCTGATATCTTTGGATTCGCAATGAGGAGGATGCAACTTCTTGAATACTGCTGTTAATGATATCACAAACAACCCCTTCAAACAATAAATAATGCCAGTCAAACAACTGAATTAGCATTTCAAGATTGCTCTTAACTTTATGTTTAGACTTAAGAAGTGGTATTAGTTACTAGTTAGTACCAGAAAAGACATAATGGATGCAAATCCGAGTGTTTTGTAACGACCAAAGTAAGTATCAGATAAGAAAGCACCAAGCAAAGTGGCAAAGTTGGTGGTTCCATTGAAGACATTAATCAAAGTGGTGGCTGTGATGTGCGTCAGGTTGAAAACTGCAGTGAGATAAACCAACAGGTTGGAAAGTGTGCCAATAGCTCCAAGTTTCTCAAAAGTTTCATTTCCTGAAAACATATGAAGCAATTCATTAAAATGGTCAAAAGTTAACTGATAAAAAAAGATAGAAAAAAGCACATTTCTTACCTATGATAAATGGCATGGCTTTCACTCCTCTGTAGTTAATCTGAGGTTCTTTCTCATTATCAGCATCTCTAATAGTACTTGCTGTTTTCTCATTCTTTTCCATAGCTTCTATCCTATTGTTATTCATTTTCACTTATCGCTCACTTTCTTGCTATTTTATATACTCCTCGGGAAGCTGAAATGGAGCATAATGTAGCAGGTGCAGATAAATAAAATAAAAGGGGTTCTTTTTAACCAACCACAACTCTACTATGTTTCTGTTACTTCTCAGATCTAGCTCTAAAGATACTTTCTCATACTCGAATCCTCTTTCTTTTTTATAGTAATTCCAGACACAAGGGTGAATCTTGTGGGCTTACTCATAATACTATAAATTCTAATTAATCAAACAACTTTTGTAACTTCCACTAATGATAGATGTGAAGTTTAAAGTAATTCAAAGACGTGTGGTCAACCACAATAATGATCTAAAGAAAATAAAAGAAGTGGGGACGATGGCGTAGGCACACTATGACCACCCTTAACCAAAATTAAAATTATATTGTATATATAAGTTAAATGCTATTTTATATGACTATATATTATATTTTAAACATCCTTAACATAGTTGAGTGAGGCAGTCTGGCGGTTCAGGATATTTAAAGTGATATGTTACGTTGTTCACGAGTTCAAAGTTATCTGCCCATTTTGTTTGCCAAAATTAAACGAAAACCACCATGTGTATGGTTTATTTGACTCTATTTCAATCTATTAGTTTTTTAATCAAAATTTATTTCTTAAACAAATTTTATAATTTAAATCTCAGGCTATACAAAAATTTTCTTAACAAAAGCTCTCTACAGAGTACGAACTACATATCTTCTCGACTCTCTACAGAGTACAGACTACATATCTTCTCGACTCTCTCTTTCCTTTAATTTTATGCTTACTTTTATTAGTAATTTCTATTGTTGTCTTTTTTTTTTTTTATGTTAATTTAAATTTTTAATATTATAGTTCGATTACAAGTATTTTTATTGTTTAACTAAGTGAGCGTTTGGACATAAGAGTTGTAAAATTCCAAAATATGGGGAAAAAATTTCAAGTAAAAATGGTATTTGAAATTTAGAGTTGTGTTTGGACATGAATATAATTTTGGGTTGTTTTTGAAGTTTTGTGAGTGATTTGAGTGAAAATTTTGAAAAATAACTTTTTAGAGTTTTTCAAATTTTCGAAAATTTTCAAAATGCATCTTCAAGTGAAAATTGAAAATTTGATGAACAAACGCTGATTTGAAAAAAAAGTGATTTTATTTTTGGAAAAAAGAAAAAAATTTCTTATGTCCAAACGGGCTCTAAATGTTGCTTAGATTGATTTTTAAAAATTTGGTACACCATTCATCGATAAAAAATTTATTGACTTATTTGAAGTTTGAATACCCTTGGCAAAATTCGTAGCTACGCCACTGACAAATGATACACCCTTTTAGCAAGGGATGTCATCTAATATGTTGCTCCTCAATATTATTTTTGTATGTGTAAATAATATTAAAAGATAATACGTAGATATACTATAGGTCTATATCTCTTGAAAATAATTCAAAGTAAATATTGGTTTTACAAGAAGCAAAACTTCAAAATCATAACACTTCTAGATTCAAGAACTAACTTATAATAAGTTGAACTGTGATAATGAATCGACACTACTTGCTCAATATCTCGTGTACCCAGGTGGGAAAACAAAAGAAAAATTATCATCCGTTTGGACTATTTGTCAATGTACTAGTCAATACATACTGGTAAAGTCTAATTTTGTTATGTAATTTTGTCTTAACTGTAGAATGAATGCATTTAATCCGTGAAAAAGACGTCAAAGATACAAAAATCTCCACGACAGTCTTATATACACGGCTCTAAAAGAGAGTGAAAGTTCTACTTATTTGAATAAAGTTTGTAATTGGTTCGAGAGAACATCTAGATCAGACTACGACAGGCATAATGTTGAGGCTGGAAAATCACTATAAGTCCTTCTTATGGCAACTACTTATATATGGTATCCACCAGAGAAGAGAGTTACTCCAAAAGCAAACGCAAAATTTTGCAAATTCTAACCTACCACATTTCTTGATATTGTTTTCTTCTGGACAAGTATTGGATCCATGACAATAGTGTTCTTCCTTTTTTCCCCTTCTAGATCCGTGTATGTTCGTGTTTGCAGTTTGTCTCCTTTATGTTTAAGGATTTTACTTCTATAAAATGATAATATAAGATATTTTTATACTATTAATATATTTTAATCGATTATAGCACGTCAACTATATATTATATATTTTGATTACCAAGTTAAAATTAGTTTTATAGACGTACGACAATTACATGTCGTTGTAGGTCATAATAACATGATAGTGTAAAACAAGCGTCAGTCACGGAAGTTAAACTTATTTATGTTTAAATATGATGTTTTACTTCTTTTTTTTGAGAGGTTTGTGTTGTGAAACTACTGCCAAAAACTACTCCGCTATTTTCAAAATATCAGTGTCCCAGAGTATGGATATTTTACGTAGAGACGCAAATTGTGATGACCCAAAGTGTCATTTTTAAATTTAATAAGTAATTCCGTATTCTAAGATCTCGAAAAGTATTATTTATCATTCATCGACTTGCGTGCGCAGTCTGTATAATTTTACGGGAAGTTTTTGTGTGAAAAATGGATTAAAATATGAAATAGAGCTTTAAAACTCAACTGAGTTGACTTTGGTCAATATTTTGAGCAAACAGACTCAGATCAGTGTTTTGACAGTTCCGATAGGTCCGTATCGTGATTTGAGACTTGGGCGTATGCCCGGAATCGAATTCTGAAGTCCCTAGCCCAAGATATGGAATTTTGATAAAAAATTAAAAGTTTGAAAGTTTTAATGATTTTTAAGAATTTACTGATGTTGAATTTATTGACACCGGGTCCGTATTTTGGTTCTGAAGCTTGGTATAGGTCCACTATAATATTTATGACTTGTCTGCCGAATTTGGCGAGAAACGGAGTTGATTTGTCGTGATTCAGACGCCCGGTTGTAAAATATAAGTTTTAAAGTTTTCTTGAAAATTTCCTTTGATTTGGTGTCCGATTCGTAGTTCTAAGTGTTATTTTGGAGATTTGATCGTGCGAGCAAGTTCGTATGATGTTTTAGGACTTGTGTGCATGTTTGGTTTTGAGCCCCGAGGGCTCGGGTGAGTTTCGGATGCTCAACGAGCCATTTTGGACTTAAGGAAGATGGCAGAATTCTGGTGTTTTGTTGTAGAATTTTTACTCATCGCGATCGCGTGAGGTCGTTCGCGATCGCGTAAGGCAAACTGAGAGGCCAGCCAAAGTTGTTCTTCGCGTTCGCGAATTTGAGGACGTGATCACGTAGGGGTATGAAGTGGTGCTTCGCGAACACGTGGCCAAGGTCGCGTTCGCGTAGAGTTAAAGAGGCTAAAGTTGAGCCACGCACTTTACTCATCGCGATCGCGTGAGGTCGTTCGCGATCGCGTAAGTCTGTGAGTCAAAGCCTCGTGTTCGCGTAGAGTAAATTTCTTGGGCAGCAAAGTAGAGCTTCGCGATCGCGAGGCTATTCACGCGATCGCGATTAAGAAAAACTGGGCAGCCAAAAATATGCTTCGTGAAGCATTGTACGCGATCGCATAAGGTAAAATTTGGGCAAAGAGAACTTAAGTTTTGGAAAATGGAATTTGTCCCATTTTCAACTATTTCCAATTTTTGAGCTCGGGTAAGGCGATTCTTGGGCGATTTTCACGGAAAAATATTGGGGTAAGTGTTCCTTATCCTATATTGATTATATTTCATGATTCCATACTCATTTATATCATGAATTTTTGAAATTTTGGGAGAAAAATCAGATTTTTATAAAATCTTCCAAAAAAGAAAATTTAAGATTTGAAGGTCCATTTGACATCGGAATTGAATAATTTTTATATAGTTGAACTCGTAGCGGAACGGGTGTTCGGATTTCGTGAGTTTTTTCGGATTTGAGACGTGGGTCCCACTGTCGAATATTAAAATAATTTTTGGATTTTTATCCGAAAAATTAGTAAATTCATATGGAATTAATTGCTATGATTCGTATTGAGTATATCGAATTATTTGTGAATAGATTTGATGCTTTTGGAGACAATTTCAAAAGGGAAAGCTGTGGTCGAATAATTTATTGGAATTTGCAATGCGAGGTAAGTGTCGTCATTAACCTTGACTTGATGAAATAGAACCCTTAAATTATTTATTATGTGAAATGCATGTGAACGACGTATAGGCGAGGTGACGGGTGCCTATACATCGTCAAATTAATTATTTGCATAATTATTTGAAAATCCTAAATTTATTTTAGTACACGAACTAATTGTTATTGTCACGACCCGAAATTTTTCACTGACGGGACCGTGATGTCGCCTAACATTTCACTTGCTAGGCAAGCCAACGTTAGAAAATTGTTAAACCAATTCCTTATTTCCATTCAGTAAATAACAATAATTAACTAAGATGAAATATAATAAGTGCGGAATATCATAAAACTGTATCAATTACTACCACCCAGATCTGGAGTCACAATTCACGGGCATTCTAGAATTTACTACAAGTAATAGTCTGAAAGAAATACAACTATCTGAATGAAAGAAAACAGTATGCCATAAAAGATAGACGGGGACTTCAAGGTCTGTGAACGCCGACAGATCTACCTTGAGTCTCCGGACAGCGGACCAGTAGCAAATCTCGATCAACCTGAGCCGGTATCAAAATCTGCACAAAAAGTGCAGAGTACAGCATCAGTACAACCGACCCCATGTACTGGTAAGTGTCGAGCCTAACCTCGGCGAAGTAGTGACGAGGCTAGGACAAGACTCCCACATATAACCTGAACAGTATAATCATGCTAGTGGCAACATCAGTAAGTAAAGCAATAACGCAGAAATAATAGGAAGGGGACATACAGTGGGGAAATACAACATAAAGAGTGAGAATAATGAAAAGACAGAATTAAACAGAAAATCCGTAAACAAATTGAGCAATTAAAACAACAAAGGAAAACTGCACGGCATCACCCTTCGTGCTTTTACTCTCAATCTTACCAAATAAATAAATAGAATGGCACGGCATCACCCTTCGTGCTTTTACTCTCTTCCTCATAATATAAATAATTCATGCACGGCATCACCCTTCGTGCTTTACACTCTTCCTCACAATATAATTAAATTATGCACGGCATCACCCTTCGTGCTTTACACTCTTCCTCACAATTCACAGAATCAATAACAACGGATAGAGAGAAGTTTCACAAGAAATCAATATTTCATCAATGATTACCTTCATAATTTAACATCTCGACCTCAAATCAATATTCACAATCTTATCGACC